GATTTGAGGGAATCAAGTGACACTTGCTGTGTGCATGTGTTCTTAACATTTGTATTGGGCTGAATTGGATGTGGTCATGCATGTTAGCCCAGGATCAAATCATCTCTCTCTCTCTGTTGTCTGTGTATTTTTATGTGTTTCTTGCCATCTTGTCTGCATCTGCATGCATTATGAATGCCTTTACTGAGTTTCTCTCTCTAAAAAATTTCATTAACAGCTCGCAATCACGTGGAGAAGATTCGTAAAGAGCTTGGGCTTGTGGGATTCAGTTCGTGAGATTGCTCGACTCTATGATGCTGGGATGGGGATACTCATATTCTCACCCATTGCCTTTCTGTCGTGGTTCCCATTCATCTCCACCTTCCAATCTCGCCTCCTCTTTAACCAGGCATTCAGTCGAGGCTTGGAGATCTCCCTCATTCTCGCTGGAAACCGTCCAAATGTTGAAACGTGATTTCTCTCCCTTTCTATCATCAGCACCAATCAATGTCTAGAGGTTTTTTCCATTTGGCTTTCTGTAAGAGTGGAGCATGATCTCTCTCTGTCTCTCCAGGTTATTGTAGGAGTGGAATATGAACTGTCTCTTTGATTAAGATCGTTGAAAATTGTGAGGTGTTTCTCTTTTCGCTTTACGTGGGGGTGGAATGTGTATAAATTGGCAGGAGTTTAATGATTTTTGACGTAAGATTTATTTGTTTTAGAGAGGGTGGGGATGAGGGAGGGTTCTCCTATGTTTTATATCTATGTTTCCATCTTACACATTTAAAGGCTTACTTATGTTTAGAGAGAAAGAGATAAGAGAGAGAGAGGTTCAGGAGAGAGGAAATAGTCAGGCTGGAATAGTTTAAAGAGAGAGAGATGGGGATAACCGTCATAAATAGCCCCCTGGGTATATGCAGTTTTGTGATAACTGTTTTTATAACGTTACTGTTTGTGGCACGAATTAGAGCTCAAAACATACCTTTTTACTGATGAATAAGAAGACAACAGGACCAAGAATCTATATTTTAAGAAGACAACAGGACCAAGAATCTATATTTTGTTTTTGATTGTCATAACAAAGATGAACAATATATTGTAAACCATGTAAATTGTAAACTTACAGGTGCAAGCAATTGTACATATACGATTAGTTTTTCAAAGTTCCTTCAGCTGTGCTTCCTGTTTTCCCAAGAAAATGAAAAACCCTTTTTTTTTCTCTAAAAAACAGGTAGGGGCTTTTCACAAATCAGCCTAGTTAGGGCATTCTCTCAAACACCACTCCAAATTAGAGAGAAAAACCCTTTCAAACTATCTCAAATCAGCATCTCATCTTTCTTTTTTCTCTAAAAATCGTGTATTTTTTTGGGATACCCACTTAGTGTATGTGTATTTAATGAATAAACTTATATCATATATTTGTCACCATACCATGGTTTAAGTGTTTAATGAATAAATTTATATGGTATATTTGTTTTTGCTGTGTAATAAGTAGGTGTGATGTTTTTTAAAGTATTTAACGAGTAAATTTATATGGTATATATATTTTGATATGTATTAGTTAATTTTGTATTTAATATTGACTGATTGGATGAGACTTATGAGGTATCTAAATTAATTGATTTAATTATATTAATCTAGTAAAGTTTTTATGGATGGATTAAGTATCATAATTTTTATTTTTTAGAAATTCAAAATTTTTAATATTTTAAATATATCCGATTTTTTAGACTAGGCCGTTCCGTTATATTGGTGATATCTTTATATGAAGTATATTTGTCGATATGTATGTTTTACCCGATTTATTCATCGGACTTTTTAAAATAAAAACGATTTGTTTTTTTATGGTGAATTGATTTATTGATAGTCCTTGACTTACCATGCTGTGCATTAGACGCGTTGGCTTTTGACTCTTTTTATCCTTCTACTGGGAGATCTCTCATTTTAAAAGGTATTGAATGTCACCTTTAAAATGTGTACAGGATCATGTCCAAAAGGAGATTGACACTCATGCGCCAAATTTTTAGATTGATTTTTTTAACACCATCAATCAAATAATCTGAAAATGTATTTGATTTAAGCACTATTTTTAAATTAAATAATCTTCACTTAAATAAGATAGGAAAATAGTTTGATAGGGCTGTAGCCTTATCAAAATAAGTAAAGCTTCACCCCATAACTCATCAAAAATTGCAATTCAAGTGTTGGAAAAGATTTAAATCGATCATTGCAGCATAAACATTGTTGTGAAAAAAAGATAAAAAGGATTTCAAATTTTAAAAATAGTGTTTATTGCAACAAAACATGTACACGATCCATTTCGTATTAAAAAATAAATGTTCATTGATCTGTAAGATTTATACCATTTTTTATTTTCAAATTTTGTTGCCGGGGTTTAAAATTGACTTTAGAGCTATCATAGAGATTTTCAATGCCGAAAGTGCTTTCCAAATAAGGATTTGAAGTGATGCTTTATTTTGTTATCATAAAGCCTGTACCCTATAGAAACTTCGCACATCTCAGGGTGGCGATGGATTTACAGGGATTTGTGATGTGTTTGGATCCTGAATTACTCAAAAACGAGGGCAGATTCAGATTACGGCCAGCTCACCAAATACTTGATAGTGCGAAGTTTATACGTAACATTACGTTTAAGTTATTTTAAACCTATATTATGAGGGCTCTTAACAGATGAAAAAGTACTTTTTTTTTTTTTGGACAAGAACAAGTTAAATATCTTTCAACTTAATATCAACATATCCAGCTGCTACCTTATGTCTTTGAAATAGCTGTTCGAGTTTCGAGACGAACATATCCAGCTGCTACCTTATGTCTTTGAAATAGCTGTTCGAGTTTCGAGACGAACGTGGCGTGAACTTTGGCTACCTGCACAGGCAAAACTCTAAAACTGAATAGGAAGATGATGATTGAAGTACCATGAAGTTCTAAATAGAAAAATATCTTTATATCTCCTATTTTTAAGTTTCATTTTTTGATAAATCCAATGTTTCAAAATATATCTTTTAACCTCTGGCCACTTTAAACTTATTTTTTAACCTAAACAAATATGAAAAAGACATGCTATTTTTAAACCCAATCATTTCTCTCTCTTCATTTATATAGTCCAAATTTCTATCTCTTCTTATATCTCTCTCACTCTCTCTCTCGAAAAGCTGTTGGATTTTAGATATCTCTTCCTATATCTCTCTTCCTATGTTTTTTTTGGATTTTAGAAATAGCTGTTGGATTTTAGAAAATACATGTCTTTTTAGATTTATTTGGCCAAAAAAAACATGTTTAAATTAGCTCAGAGAACTAGAAGAAATAAAATCTACAATTTTAATGCTTTAAGATACCTTTTAAAACTTTGGATCTATTGTGAAATGAAACTTAAAAATAAAGGGTATAAATATGTTTTTCCTTCTAAAATATGATAAAAAATGATAATTCTTATAAAACTAGCAACAAATAACATCCGTGTGTGTGCATGCATGTTTGTGAAAATGCAGCTTCTTCAAGGGAACAAGCACTTATCAGAAGTTAACTCACTTCTTCGTCAGAGGGATTTGGGTTTCTCTTCAGCTCAATTGGGGCATCGGCCGGCAGTATGGAATATGCGTTCTGGGAAAATTATTCACTAGAAACTTGCAAAGTTGTAGACTTGAATAGTTACCAAAAGCACAAGCACTCACCAAAATCAACTACTACAAAGCAAATGACATCGATTTTAAATATCCACGCCTGAAAAATCTTAAGTGAAAGACTATTTCAGGGAAAGCAAAGAATTCATGTTTTTCTAATTGTTAATAGTACCTGCAAGTTACATTTTCACTGAATCCTTTATATACAATCTTTACAACAGAGATAGTATTGAAAGAACATAAGGTGTAAATGCTCACTACAAGATAAAGTTCCCACCTAAGAAACTTTTAAGATAAATGCTTAAAACCAACAGCAAAATGAAAAAACTGCCCCAAATTTGTTGATACTACTTTGGAGATACAAAAGATTTCAAGTCAGCAAGCAACCACATACAACCTTTCAAAGACAACCAAGATAAGCAAGTGGAGGGATCCTATTTTTATCTCCTCCTAAATCAAATAATTCCATAAAAATTTACAAATTAGAGATATATCCAAATATTCCCCAGTACAGCAAGGGGGCAAATCGGATTGCTCTAACTACGCGCGTTTATAGATCTCCCTTTGGTTTCCACCAATTATAAACATTGGTTTGTAAGATAACAACCAGAACAATCATGTCTCTGTTTATGAAAAGGTATTGTATAAAATGAGATCATTTACTTTTGATACAAGGCTTTCACAATTACTTACAACAATTTGATGTGTAATTTGATACCTTGAGTGTGTCACAAGGTTCGAGAAAATTTCTTTTAAAGTTTGAGCTTGGTCAATGGAATAAATACCAACTATCTAATTTTACATCCAATGATCAACATTAATTGTGACTACCTTGTACCAAAGATAAATGACCTCATTGTATACTTTTTATTGTGGAAATACTCATTCGATCCCTCTTTCTCACACACTCACATGCACAAACACATGCACAAAAACATAATACATTTTATCTTTTGACCTGACCAAAGCAAAAGCGAAAGACAGGGACTAAAGGATGTCCCGTCTCCATAGCAACGCACACAAATCCATGCCTTTTCTTGAGGTATACAACCTGTAGACACAACTAGATAAGAATTATGATAAACCTTGCTTCAGGTTTTACTTAAGCAGCACAAAAGCCTCCCACAAAAGAAGGAAAACTGCAACAGTAAACCCAAGAATTTATAAATTTCATTGAAATCATTATCATGTTTAACCCACAAAAGAAGACAAAGTTTCAGATATATCTAAGTCCTGAACATGACATGGTATCAGAACAGACCTCAGAATCATGCTCCATATAAACTTCTCATGAATACCACCTGGAATAACAATACAGCTATAACCAGCTTCCAAATATTTAATGAATTTCTTTTTTGTGGCAGGGACAAGTCCAGCCCATGCCGCTACTTGCCGTAAAATGGGCAGATAGAATATCTGAGTAAAGCATGAAAATGAATGAAATATTCAAGAAAGCATCTTAGAATGATGAAAAATATGTTTACATATTGAGAGTTTTGTCATAACAAAATGGTAGTAGGGGTTTATAGAAGACAGGCTTACAGCATCACTTGCAAGACACTTGGTCTTAGAGAGTGGCATCAAGCCCATAACATTCAACAGGGAGAGACAACCAATTGGAACAATTGAATGCAGTTCTCCAGCAAAGACTGCACAAAATAAAGAAAGCCATTTAGTTATTAGAAAAGATATTATGCTCCTAAACTGTCCATTTACTCCCTCAGATAAAGCCCCATTAAGGCATAACTTTAGGACCCAAAATTCTGAGGATGTAACCTCTTCAACCCATAGATTAACTTCAACTGAAAAACTATTTATCCTCTCAAGTAGGTCGTCTGACTGATGGAGTAGATGTACACTATGCTCCTATGGGAGCATAGTATAAGCGCTTTTTAGTTATTAGGATGACAATCACAATCAAGATAAGCTGGGATACTGGTTTTGGTTTGAAGTAAGAGCTTCCATTCATATCACAAGGACTACTGATTAAATGTTATAGTCATCAAATCTCTGGGTACCAATGTTCACAAAATCTGATCTTTGGGGAGCATGAATTGGTAACAAAACTGAGTATTAATAA